ACTTTTGGGTACATTCAAAGTCGTCCAGCAAAATAAATAATATTAGTGTCAGTATCAAAAGGAAAATAAAACAACATTTAACGAGCCTGACCCACCTATCTTACGGGTGCAGCCAAAGTTCTCCCAGTGTTTACACCAGACGTCCGCGCCAAGTCTTAACTCCTGTTGTGATTCACTTCAAAGTCATCCAGCCTCGGAGCCTCCTTCTGGTGTCTTCTGAATGTGTCCTTCTTGTGATACATAACACAGTACTCTACTGACCATATACTGTTCTTCTTAAACATCTTATTAATTGTCCCTTTTTAACAAATCTTCAAAATCAGTAAAGGCGGTATTTGGTTTTCAGTAAAAGGTTCCTGTGTTTTAGGTAGTATCACACACACATTGATTTCTTAATTCACCGGAAGATATTTTTTTAATTAAAGATACTATTCCAATTTAAATATTCTACAAACCTTATCATTTTAATTTGGTTCGTAGTTGCCTCAGATTGTTTCCAAAATTGATAGCTAGAACTTTATTGCATATATTTCCGTTTCATTATATGAACTCTAGTTTGGTCCTATACACAGAACATAGTATCAAAGAGCAAACCACCCAATTGTTATAGTCATTGTAAAGTAGATATGTTACATGATAATTGTAGATCTTTTGAAACACTGACTCCTGCATGGGACTTGTAGCCTTGAGTGTTACCAGATATATACAGTACGTCTATGAGTGAAACTTTAATTGTGTGACGAAGCATCAGTGTCTAGGGTTGGCTAACAATGGTCTGCCAAAGTTACGGGACAGACATTTACATGGATCACCTTGTTATTGTCAGTTTAAAATTTGAATAATAATATAATACCTCAATAATTACTTCTTATAATTATTCCACAAACACATTGCTATAATCAGTGCCGGATTTAGACCTGTGGAGGCCCATGGGCAGCCTCTTTGTGGAGGCCCCCCTCATTATAACTACCCAAGAGGGTGGGGTGGCGAGTGAAGCGAGCCTAAACATCTGGGAGTTCCGGAGGGCGCTGTAAGCCCCCCGGGAAAATTTTGAAATTTGAACACTTCTTTGGAGAATTTTGAAGCCATATGCAGTTATATTGAGGAAATTAGAACACTGATAAATTTTTAATTAACTGTATATTTATTGATAGTGTACAAATTCCCAACACACACACACACACACACACACACAAGTGAGACATGACTGGAGTCATTCATGTGGTTTCAAGTCGACCAGCCCTGATATGTGGAGGCCCCCAGATTGTGGAGGCCCCTGGATAGCTGCCCACTCCTGAATCCGGCCGTGGCTATAACACTTCTGATACAATAGCTTACCCGTAAACAAGTAAAGAGAGAACTGGAATCAAGGAGAATGGTTAAATATATTTCCAAGGGTAAATGTTATTAAATTTCGCCTTATTGCTTTACCTTCAGTAACTCGACTATAATTCAATTTATATTATGTATTCAATAGAAATAAGAATAAACCCGTGAACTAATTAAATAAAAGAATACGAGAGACATTTTGAAAAGTTTAAAATATTGAACATAATGAAGAGTTGCTTATTATACAGTAAGTTAAACTATATAAACGTATCCCCATCAAATTCTAAGTCGGTATTATTTAGTGATTGAAGTGATGTTATTTACATGCTTAAAAATTACACCAACTACACTGAGCCAATCCTAGATGCTTGATTTACTGTAACTTATTAGCTTAGTCGTGTTTCACTTTTGTTTCTTCTCTATTGTACATTACTAAACATAGTCTAGGAAACGTGTTATTTGGGACAGTATGAATATTTACAAAGAAGACAATAGTAGTGTTGATGTTTGATATGACCCTTCAGGAGATCCTTATCGTCAATTATCATTCTAAGTTACTTTGTTTTAATGAATGGTTACGGATCCATTTTATAATATCTCTTGTGATTATGAGTGGTCTTGAATTTAACTTATCAATTTACTGTACCAAAGAAAAAAAAGTGGAAAAAGCTTAACTTGATATTTATTAATTATTGTTCTGCGACTGTCAAGGAACATAAGAGTAATCTTAAATTTATATTATAGGTCATACATGCTTACACTCATCCCTACATCACTTGTTTGAATATATTTGATATTTTTTTTTTTTTAGTTTTCACATGAATGTATTTATATAGTTTGTTGGTTTGTTTAGCGAAGTCACCCATGGGGATATACGTTCTCTTACTTCAGTATTTAGGCGCAAACTAAACCATTTTCATCTGTTTACAATATCGCACACTTATATTTTATTTGATACTAGATTTCTGGTAGACTAGATGGAGTAGATACCATGGAAATAAGCAACACCAATATATCATCTAAATATCGATATTTAATTGATGTTACAAGTTAGAATAATGAATGTAAATACACTTTAGGTTAATGAATTAGTCGAAGCTAATTAAAAGACCAGTCGAATTTAATACCTAACCTAACCGTTCCTAAAATTATGGTTACGTTTATTTCTGAAATTTATATTGTTTTATAAAAGCGTTACCTTGGGAGGGCTTACCTATCTGGGGTCACCTGCTCGATTGGTACGTTTACGCTATACCCTGGGGACATGCAAGTAAAATCCAACTGTGACTCGTCGGGGTGTCAAAAATTGAAGCTAAAATTAAGAACGTTTTATTTAATATTTCTTCGCTGTTTAATTCTACACCTGGGAAGGACTTTCTTAAGATGGTAGCTGTATAATACCATTGACAAGAGACAAGGCTGTATTTGTTGTTGTTGTTGTTGGCTTCCTTTACTGACCGTGGACTGAATGGGGATACCGTACCGCCTTAAGTCGCCCAGTTGCCATTGTTAAATATTTTTTTGTTTTAACTCAGTTTCTCTAATTTAATTCCTGGTATAATTCTTTTTTTATTAACTCAACTTGCAGATTATTTTCTTAAACTCTTTATCACTAAACTTTGAACTAAATATAATATGCCACAAAAAAGACAATTGCCTGAAGTAATATTAAAAGTTAAGGGATTCATGTGAAAATTCATCGCTCAGGTTTTGCCAGGTCAGTCCAGCATATGTCTCGCTGTGATGACCCAAGCTGACCTCTGATGACCCTTACTGTCACGTGACCGATCATTTCCTAGTGTTGACGACTGTGGTCTCCCTCCCTCCCTCCCTTCCCATTTTCTGTCTATCTCTCTCTGTTATTGTCCTTCTGTCCTTTCCTCTACCTACCGCTGCCTTTTCTGTCCGTTTTCTCTATTTCTGTTTGTTAGCACCTCTGTATATCTCTTTGTTTGCTTTCTCTTCTGCCCCCGGTCTCTGCTGCCTGTCTGTCTTCCTGTCTATGTCTGTACTGTACGTCTGTCAGTCTCTGTTAATGAGATAAATTAGCTTTAACTATAACTCAACTAGATGAGGGAAAAATAATCGATCACATGAAAATTAGGCATCCCAGCTTATTTCACCGTAGGAGTAAGCACCCAAGCGCAAAATAACCTAACCTAACCTAACCTAACCTAACCAATCAAAGATACAAATGTCGTGTGTGTGTGTGTGTGTGTGTGTGTGTGTGTGTGTGTGTGTGTGTGTGTGTGTGTGTGTGTGTGTGTGTGTAATAATAATAATAATAATAATAATAATAATAATAATAATAATAATAATAATAATAATAATAAACGGTTTATTAATAGAGTTGCAGCCGGTGGCTGAAAATATACAGACTTACATTTGATTTAGACATAATGATATAATATGCATTGAATACATTTACAGGGCTGTACAGTACATAAATCAGGAGTTGTTTATTATTTTAACAATAGATGGGATGGTGCTGTTCTTATATCTATCGGTGCGGGCTCTTATGGGCTGAATTTTGTTGTAGTGGCGGACTGCGCGAGGTGGGTGGGGGGCTGCAGGTGGCAGGAGGTGGCGATGACGAGGGTGGTGTGTGTGTGTGTGTGTGTGTGTGTGTGTGTTTATCCTCGCAGCTTGTGAATGTGACCCAGCCAGAAAAAATCTGATTTGGATCACCTGAAGATTAGCCCCCAGCTTATTTCACCTGATGATTAAACAGCCTTAAGCCATCTGAGGGCCTAGGTTAGCATTAGGGTGATTAATCTTCAGGTGATCCAATTTTATTATACGCTTACATGCACATAACCTTACTCTAGGATAAATAAACGCAATTATATACATTTACACAGGTATAATCTTAGATGATTTCATTATTTAATTAAATATTTGCGCACACAAGATGCGTTGATACATTCATACCTGGGACTGAAATATATTTTACTCAATTTGTAAAATTGTTTTCTATTCAGTACTTGACCTTGGGTTCTGTGCTTAAAAACACAAGAACAAAACAATGAAGGACACTGCAGGAGGCCTATTGGTTCATACTAGGCAGCCCTGTTTACACCCAGCCGACATCTCTGGCCCATCACAACTGGCTCGAAAACAGGCAGTAAAGAGTGGCAATAAATGGAGTGCGTACATTCTGAATGGAAAAAGGTTCTCAGTGGAGTAGCACAAGGCTCTATCCTTGGGCCCACTTTCTTTGTGATCTACATAAACGTCACAGATGAAAATATATCGTCCCACATTGTCAAGTTTGCGAACGACTCGAAGATATTTGGGAAGTTAACAGGTCAAGACGATGTCGCTACAATGCAAAAAGAACTGCATGAACTATTCAAATGGTCTTGAGACTAGTAATTTCTCCTTTACTTTTCGAAATGCAATACCCTGCGCGTATAATGCAACAATCCTAATAACTATTCTATTAATATCACTTTCCTGGATACTGTCGATAAGGAGAAAGATCTTGGCGTTGTGAGTTAATGATGGTGCTTGATAATTTATTCTACTCATCCATAACTCTACTTTAAAACCATTGTTCTCCTAATTCCCGCATAAAACTAAATTTGTTTAATTTAAGACCATTTCTATGTTGTAGCTTCGATCATGTCACCCCCCCCCACTCCACGTCTTTCAGGAGAATGAAAATAAAGTCACGTTGATAATCTTTAATAATAACAATACTCAATATAAGATAATTTACAAGTGACGGTTCAAGATGTCATCGACTGCTGCTACTGTAAAACTGCAGCGTAAAGAGAACGTCATTACAGGTCTCGGTTGCTGCACTAAGTGTATGTATTCATGATATCAGTAAACAATTATATATGTGTCCGTCAGCGGTTACAAAGAAATATATATCCAAAGAAATATGTAAGTATACCTGAACACACATATGTGAATGACAGATATTGCCCGAGAATGAAACGTAAATAATTAAAGAGAGGCGGCAGAGGTCAGGCAGATGGGAGGGAGGAGGGAGTCGGTCAAGTTGGACGCAGAGGGTGGTAGTGGAGCCGCTGCATTACCTTGCCACACACGTGCTCAATATACTCCACTTCCCGGTTATCCATTTGGGACTTCCAGTGATCGTGCCGGTACTGGGAGTCTCGGTATGTGTTCAGATACCTGTATAATAACACATCACGTTATTGTTATTATACTTTTACTACTTTCACATAAGAATAAGAAAGTTTTATCGTTTTATCTAATGTAACAACTATGAGAAGGTGTTGAGTTAGTGAAGTCTATTTTTAATCTAATAATTAACGTGCAACCAAACAGTATTATCGTAAAACTAAACAGAATCATACATCATAGTTCACAAAACAATAACAAACACAAGCTTACTCTCGCTCTTACGTATTAGAACACCAACCAAAATATTTAATGATATACAAATGGCGTACAGTTCATCTTTACTGACATAGATATCAGTCTCTTTTTTTGCTTTACCGCTTCATACTTTACCAACCAAGATGGTTTGTTCACACTTACCTGAAATTAGTTCCTCCTAGTTTCTTTAGCTATTAGTTTACCCTGACATTGCTATTGCTCAGTGGTTTGTGGATTTTATACTATTTGTCTCTATTTTATGAATAATCGTTGATACTATTGTCTGTTGGTTTCTATATTCTGTTAGTTCATTATATGCATGGGATAAAGCATAGATTATCCAGAGACACACTATCCTTGTCTCATAGTACTCGAGGACAGGGCACCACACGAGTCTCAGTCAGAACCCTACACTGGTCTAGCGGGGCCCCGTGTACTCACTTCTGCCGCATAGATGGAATTTCTCCCAGGCCTGAATGTTTCTGCAGGTAGGTTAACACATTCGAGGTCATGTTAACGCCCATGAAGGTGAAGATGCGTCTGGTCTCCTCTGCAGGATATTCAACCAAGTCCTCGTAGCGAACTCGTAGATACCTGTACGAAAGACCCGCATATATTGTAAGACTTCTGTAGAATATCATGGTTGTTGTTTTGTCAGTTGTGGGATGAAATTATTATGTTACTACAATACAATGATGTGGTGTTCATTGTCACACATAGCTAATAGGGACAATTACCTAATAGGGATAACTTCTATGTAATTCTTTTTCGGTAAACTTCTGAGTGACCATAGAAGATCATGTAGATAATCTTAATATATATGAAGGAGTAGTTTCATAGAAAACTAAACCTAACCTAACCTAACCTAAAGAAATATCATGACTATATCAGCTTTATAAAAACATCATAAATTTATTCCCATCATCACCCTGGCCCCTTCATTATCGTATTTTTGCCCCTTTATTACTTAACTCCCATCACTAATCACCTGCTTGGGCCGAGGTCTTCAAGTAGAAGGTCGTTCTCGATGTTGGCACACTGGAGGGCGACGTTACGGTTGTTGTTACTCCAGAGTCGGCCTCCCTTCTTCACTGAATTGAGAATCCCACGCGGGTCACGCACCAGATGAACTACCTGTCCAATCAACCAACCCAGGTGAGTGAGTTAACGCCTAATAAGTCAGTAAGTAACAGAGACAAGTTACTGTATGTAGTAATGTAAGGTTGGAGAAATAGACAACTTTTTACCCTTTGTGTGTGAAGGAGAGAGACCACTAACACGAGATGAATAAAAAAAAAGATCTCTTAGAATTTCTTCATATTTCAGCTGTAAGAGTTAAAACAATACTGATGCTGTTTTAACGTTATAGAAATTTTATTTCCTACGCTCATAGACTCTCCTTGCTATTAAATCCCTATTTATGCTATTATTCTTTCTGCCTATTTTCAACCAGTTTCTATTCCTAGCTTTTCCATCCACCACCTTTATGTACACACCTGTTGTGGGAATACGACCGCTACTAGTGGGACAACACAGGTGAGACTTAAACACTAATTTTTAACACTTTAAGACTGACGGACCTTGATATCTGGCCTCCGGGTGATCCAGGGCTTAACGAAGTGCGCCCTGGCTCTAATTGACTTGAGGAGACGGAGGTGGGCGTCACGGCAGAAGTCTATCACGCCCTCCGGTTTCTTCCTGAAGTAGTAGAAGCCTTTTCTCCTCCAGGTGTTGATGACCTGAGAGAAGACAGCGTCAGGTTGGTAATATGAAGCTTCCGTTGTGTTTTATAGAGTTTATCTCAAGTCTTTAATAATGATGGGTTTTTATGTGATGTTTTGCTGTGGGTTTTATGTAACACCTGCCATCTTGGACAACGATCCCTTCTCTCTCTCCAGAACCATAGCCTCTTACCTCTGGCTGACAGTCCAACAGATCGCCCAGGACCTTGGCTGAATTTTCTTCCAATTTCGGGTCAACCCCAACACCTAAGATTTTCCTCCACGCAAATAAGGGTTCAAACACATACAGGGCTCCTTCACCTGACGTCAACAACTCTCCAGTGTAGGATGAACCTGCTCGCTGGTATGTCAACAACAGTACCTTGAAAGATGGAGGAGACTTTCAACTGTGTATAGGCGTCTGATCTCGAATTAGTAGCGTTAGACTGTAGAAGAATTAAGATTAAGAATGGGGCTCAATTACCCTGGCAGGTGAAACACTTTATAAAATAATTATTCTATTGGAGGAATACTTAAATAAATATTACATTGTTTGTTGTAGAAACTAAGATTTAATTAATGAACGGAAAATAATAATAACTCTGGCAGTTTAACCACTTGAATAAGAAACACAATAACAGTATCTATACGACGTAACAATGATATCAGTAGCAGTAGTAACAGTAGTGGGAGTAGTAGTAGTACTATTTCCATTTTCTATATTTACTTCCACCATTACTACTACTACTACTACTACTACTACTACTACTACTACTACTACTACTACTACTACTTTTTTTTTTTTTTTAAACGTGGCCTCCAGCCTCCCCCAATAGCCACACCTTCGCCACCATTTATTTACCTTAATATTAAATATCCTAATACATAAGCAACTATCCTATCTGTGTTAAATTAGTTGAGCCGCAGATCGATGCGGCATTCGGTGACTGTAGCCTCATAGTCGATATCTGCAGCAGTTGACGGAGTAGGGGCAGAAGCTCTCGTTCCCCTGAGGCAGAGCAAAGCCGACCGAAGGAGAGAGAAGGACAGTCGACATCTCATCCAGGCTGTGACATAACTTCTGGGCTGCTGCTTCTGTTCGGAGATCAGCTCCGCGAGTCTGGCGTAGAAACATCTTGCGCTTGGGCCCATCCCACCAGAGGTTGTGAACACTAGCGGAGTGAAGCTGCCTTGATCGACATTTTGAATTCTCTCCCCATATGCCCTTCTCTTGTCGTTCTCGTTCCTCCTATGTGCAGCATCGAGAGCTAGGTTACGGTGACAAACGGCCATGGGATCAAAAATCCTGATGTCGAAGAAGGCTCGCTGTCCCCGCGTCCAGAATCCTCGAGCACTGACGTCCACACGGGCTTCGTTAGATGTGTTTGAAGTCCTGTGTTGGAGGATCTCGCCATCCAGTGGAAGGAGGGTCGGTTCTACCATGACGTCCCGGCAGGTTTCCTTCAACATATTTGCTGTGAGATCCCTTACCTCGTCATGCCTCATGCATATGAAGCCCCCCTTCTTGCAAACCATGGCGTGATCGCCATCATAGGAATAGCCACACACGCATTGGGAGGGCAAACCATCTACTGGCCAACCGTACCTTAGAGCAATGGCATCTGTAAATTCTTGTTTGTTAAGGCTGAAACCATTTGCCCTTATCGGTAACGTAGTTAACCAGTTCGAGGCGCCCACCTCCTGCGCTATAGCTACTTTTTTTGTCAGATTTTCTGGAACCTGCAGCAATAGTTGCTGCAACATGTCATTTTGGCAGTGCTGCCGATCTGTTGTAATGGATCTACGGATCTTATTAACTTCGCTGGTGTCCACTTCCCCTGTTGCATTCTGGGCTATTATGTGGTCAGTGAGGGCTGCCGTGAGCTTAAGTGAATTTTGATGTTCAGAGTCAGCAATCTCCTCTGGATTAGTTAGTCCCATCCCTCCCAGTCTTGGTGGAAGTGCAAGAAGTGTTCTTTCTACTGGGGTTAAGTCGTGGTGTTTCACTAGTTTGGGAATGAACTTGACACTGATTGCTTCTTCCAAAGGGTGGAGGAGGGGTCGGATCTCAGGGATGGTACGCATCAGGTAGTTCCAACGATGCTTGACTCCATGTGTGAATGCTGCAAAGGCCGCATGTGGCTCTGTGTTAGCAATCTCCGATAGAGCATGGATTTCGCTAACCCACTCGTTCACCTTTCCCCCTACGTACTGGGTCTTGAAGTCCGTAGTGCCAATTACTGCGCCTAGATGTCTTTGGCCGTCCTTAGTTATTTTGACCTCACTTTCGCCGAAAACCTCCACAGCCCGATCATAATGATCTGGCTTCACGATGAGGAAGGATTTGCTGGCGTTTGGGTGGTACCCTATTTGTGGACCTCGCGATGTTACCAGGTCCCACCACTTTTTGATGTCCTCCACTTTTCCTGCTCCTGTGAGGTCATCAGCATATGCCACTTGTTTGACCCCAGTTGTTTCATACTTTATTTCTTGTTGGAGCACTGATAGGCCTATTGCATACATTGCCATTGCAACGGGGTCTCCCTGTGTTGTTCCCTCGGTCGACTACTACTACTACTACTACTACTACTACTACTACTACTACTACTACTACTACTACTACTACTACTACTACCCCCTCACACACACACACACACACACACCACAATTCACATCACCTCTAGCCCATCAACACTCATCATTCTTACCCCATTCTCCAACCTCACACTCACCCACCAACACCTAATACCTTCATTCGCACATTCTCCCCACCATCATATCTCGAGAAGCCACTGACCTCATCACCCACCTCACCTCCTACAGTAGCTTCACCTCTTCCTACAGTACGTACCTTCACCGCCTCCTATAGTACGGACCTTCACCGCCTCCTACAGTAGGTACCTTCACCACCTCCTACAGTAGATACCTTCACCGCCTCCTACAGTAGGTACCTTCACCACCTCCTACAGTAGGTACCTTCACCGTCTCCTACAGTGCATACCTTCACCACAGGCTTGTCTCTGAGCATCTCGTTGAGGGCGTAGTGACCATTGTAAACAAATTTATCGTGGTCAGCCTTTCCCTCAGCCTCACCTCGGTCAACTCTTGAAATATTATGCTCAACCAGTTCACCCTCAGGGCCCGCTCTTGAGTTGTTCTGAGAGTTTGATTTACTCTCATCTGGTTTATTGACTTCTACTCCACTTGGTTTAATTCCTGGTTTAATGGCATTAACTTCAAGTGGTATATTATCTGCCTGAGCTTGTATTTCAACATTTTTTAAACCAACTTCGGGTGGTTTAGTTTTGGTTTATTGTTTATTTGTTTTAGTTTGTTTAATATGATATTCCTGTTGTTATTATTTTCACCCAAATTTTCAGTGTTTTCAGGGATAGGGTTTCCATTTCTCTCTCTCTGTTCCGAATTATTCTTCTTCTCTGTGAGGTCGTTTTCTTTATTATGCTGTTGTTGTTGTGTGATTTTAGTTTGCGTCTTTCTTGTTTCATTCGGGTTTTGGTTCTCTTCTTTCCAAAGTAACTTCATTTTTATTTTTTCATTCCTCTTCGGTTTGTTATGTTTCGGTATAATGTAATTGGTTTTTATGTATAGGGTTCCATTGTGTCCATCACCATCATCATTGTCATCTTGGTAGTAATCATCATCATCATCATCATCATCATAATCATCATCATAATCATCATCATAATCATCATCATAATCATCATCATCATCATCATACAAGTCATTATTTTCCCCGGCTTTTTTGCCATCTTGTTGTTTCTCATCATCACTACCATTATTCAGCATCACCATCCTCCGGACATGACTCTTGCTATCTCTCTCTTCTCTCTCTGTAAAGATCAAAACACGTGAAGATTAGTCTCCCAGCTTATTTCACCAAAAGGTTAACCACCCTAACCTAACCTAACCTAACCTGACCTAACCTAACCTAACCTAACCTAACCTAACCTAACCTAACCTAACCTAACTTCGGCTGTGGTGTGTTGGCGCAGGAGTTTTAGAAATGCTGAAATAAATAAGTTATGGGATGAGAGGTTTGGTTAGTTTACAGTTTAGGTTAGGTTAGGTTCATTTAGGTTAAGTTAGGTTAGGTTAGGTTAGGTTGGGTTGGGTTCATTTAGGTTAAGTTAGGTTAGGTTCATTTAGGTTAAGTTAGGTTAGGTTACTGGTTATTGCAAATGAGTAATGAAAATTGGTAGGAAGATTTAGATATTAAAAGGACTGCAATATATAAAATGACAAAATTCAGATGACAGGCAAATTGAAGGTTGGGGAGGCAAGCTAACACAAAATTTTATTGAGAGAAAATTATTTTTATTGAATGGGAATGATTAAGAGAAGTTACCTTATAATTATCACTTACGTATCTGGGAGAATGAGTCTGTGAATAGCACGCGATACCAAACGTTGCTCACAAATATACAGTCCAATATATCATGTGGTGGTGTGTGTTACCTTTGGGTTATTTCATCGTGTGGAAAGTAATTCAGGTATAATTATAAAGCTCTTCAAATGGGAAGTAGTTCAGGTATAATTATAAAGCCAATTTTTTTACATTTAACTTTGAAACTACTTGGTCACTATCGAGTCCAAATTTCAGCTTCTATGTTTAAAAAAAAAAGTGCCAGAGACAAAGGAGGGAAATCAAGACACTGACTACCGCTGAGTGTCTCCCTTTCTAAACTCCTCTCCCTTGGGCACCTGTAGACGAAATGGGAGAAATGAAGGCGGTGAGGAGGGGCTCGATTTGCGGTAATGAAGTGATCAAAGGAATATGTATGAGTGTATACGCTACTCCTGTCTCTCTCTCTCTCTTACTTACTTACTTACCAACACCCCGAGTCATTGACGATATATGAAGAATATTAAGGTAGAGCATCCCCATGATTATCGTCACCGTCCACACCAGGCGGTTCCTTGACAGCCGGTGCAACATCCTCTTCAGACCCATCTTGTTCCTAACACCAGATGTTCTCCTTCAGTATTCTAGTTTCTGTCCAATTTCCGTCCTCGTCTACAGTTTCTTTTATATACTTTCTTTGTGTCTAAATTTCTCCCTAGATATCCAGTTTCCTTCTTTAATGTCCAATTTTCTTGCTTAGTTTTCTCGTGTCCAATTTTCTGTGTTTTGGTGTCCGGTTCCCTTCCTGATTGTTGGTGTACTCAATGTCCAATGTCTTTCCACAGGGCCCTCGTGTCCAGTCACCTTCCTCGCGTCCAGAGTGTCTACACCCAGCCGTCAGTGCCAGAGATGAGATGTCCGCGGCAGTGTGTGTGTGTGTGTGTGTGTGTGTGTGTGTGTGGAGGAGTGTAAATAGCGACCTTGGTTGGTTGTAGATCTCTGACCTGCCATGACGGAAGAAAAGGTAAGCTCTAAGTTTGTTATCATTTTATTATGTATGCTGTGTGTGTGTGTGTGTGTGTGTGTGTGTGTGTGTGTGTGTGTGTGTGTGTACTTTAATGTAAATCGTCTATACATTTGTCATCTACATAAGGTCTGAAATAAAAAAGATATTATATATTTAAATGCCCATCTACACCACTACGCAGACCACATTGACCTACGTTTCTCTATACATACCAAATTACGCTACAAAATACCTGCCTGGTGTGAGCAGCCAACCCTCATCCAGTCTTTCACTATCAGCCTGAAGGGTTGTGCCCTCTAGTGGCTCTCATAGTGCCAGTGCCAGGCTGGGAGAGGAAACATTTTAGGATACTCTGGTGTGATAATGAATTTATTCGGGTATTTTCTGCACCAGCCTCCACGTGTAATGGAGAATGAGGACTTGTGCTATAGTCCCTTAATGTGATATTATTATTTGCTGAAATGTTTCACCCTCAGAGGTAGTGCTGCTGAATAGTCGTAAGAGGACCACAATTATCGTAAATACGGTGTTCTTGTAATGTGTTCTCAGGGAGGATAAAATGAATCGCATCAGACAATAACTTTGTGAGAGACGCTAAAATCACTACTTAATGTGGCTTGTATATATTCCCGTGATGAAGGTTATGTTGTGCGGATGAACACAAGAGTACGTACTGCTCACTAGTAACATATTTAGGGTTATACGCAATTGCTTATAGCGAACATTGTACTGTACATATTATCGTGTTTTAAACGGCGTGAACTTCGAACATAACTACGAAAGGTAATTATTTAAGAATTACCTTCATTACCTTTTATAGAAGAAGAGACACGCGAAACAAGTATTGGGTAATATTTGATGTTGGGAGGTGGTGTTACAAACATTACTCACAACACTGTACTATCTTGTGCTGCAGTTCATAACTTTGACGGTAATTAATATAAATAATCAAAGGAGAATAACTTTATGTTTACGCGATAACTAGATAGACATTTTAAGTATATTGTCGTAAAATTAATTATAAACACACACACACACACACACAGGATACTGTAACTTGTGCCGTCAAGTGTCGGTGATATTTTCAGAGTAACACCTGTGCCGACCTCTACCAGGTGACCACAGTCCCTCCCTCTCTCCCTCCCTCCCCTTCCATCAGTACTCACTCTAACTCCCTTCCTCCCCCTACCACACACACACACACACACACACACACACACACACACACACACACACACACTGGGTCTTCGGCCAATATATCTTCTTATGTGATAAAATTCAGTGGGATAAAAATTAGATAATAAATACTCGTATATCACGTAGTTACTTGATAGTTACGTGAATTTAGGAAACACACGTAATTTTTATTGTTGGAGAAGATTTAACTAACACTGAAGGATTGTATTTTGATATATTGTTTTTATATTAGGGAATGTATCTGTCGTGTATATAAAATAATAAAAGGAATCTAAACTGTATTACGTGGCATTAAGAGTGGGTGATTTTCAGGGACCTTTTGACATGAATTGCAAGTATTTTCTTTTAATTATTATTAGTTATTCTGATTATAGGTAATATATCAACCCTTTAATCCACTTACTGTATTTTACCACATCTATCCACCAGAGAATCCACTTTTGACATAAGACCTTCCTCCTCAGGGTTAAGAGCAGGGTGTTGACACTCTTATGTAACTATGACATGATTTTCTTCTTAGTTTCATCAGCTAGTGAGAATTTTAAGTTTGTACGTAACAGAGAAATAATTCCATATAGTAACATTTATGACTAGTTTAATTTGTTTCCATTTATAAATAAGTAAATTCAGGATTTTTGTAAACATGAGAGAGATCAAGAAGAGAGACGGTTCATAATGAACCTTCATTACCTGTACAGCTGCCAGCCAGGTATGACGAAACACAATTTACTTAATTTCCTTAACTTTTCACACAGATTTCACACACTTTCAGGTTTCAATAGTATAGCTATGTCAGTTCACGGAGGATTGTTGCATAAATTACTGTCTCTGGTTCAGTTACTGTAGTTGCTGGATTCAGAGCCGTGATTGTAGGATCCTCTTGCTCGTCTCACATGTGAACCTTCACTGAGCACATATTGAAGTGTGGCAGGTGTGCGGGGGAATAATTAACACCTGACATTAGTTTGGTGTCAGAGTGGGCGTGTTAAGGAGTGGGAAGGTGAAGGGAGGGAAGGGGAGGGAAGGGATGATATTACTTGTCTGGATGGAAGAGTAAAGAGAAGACGTGGGAAGGGAAACGAACGATAAAAGATGAGACAGGTAGAAAATGAAATGTGAAGGCAAGACGAACAGAGAGACAGAAGATGGTACACGAGGGATGGGGAATGTGGATGGGAAGGCAAAATAGGGTAATAAGAGAAATGAAAGAATATTCGCATGTCAGTAACGAAGGAAGAATAAAGGGAGAGAGAAAGGAAAATAACCAAGGAGAAAACACTAGGAGAAGGGAGGAAAGTAAAGTAAAGCAGAGAAGAGAATTAAGAGGAAGTGAAAAAAGAAGAGAGGATCAGAAGGAACATAACAGCAAGCATAAGAAGTAAACAAAATTAATAAGTAAATGCTGGAATAGATGCAATGTAGATAAAGAGAAGATAATTGCCTCTACGACACGCTGGAAACAACCTCACGTACACAACTTTCTCAATATTTCACCAAAACGGGACTAAGTTGAGCCGTCAGTCTACAGATGGGGCTGGTTGGCCACTAATAAATATTCCCCCTATTGTAGAGAGCAACTGCGGCAAGACACAGTACACGTCACAGCTCTCTACCACCAGAAATTGGCCTGAAAACAAAACATAATGCAACTTTGAGAATATATCTGTTTATTTGGCTGCTAAAAACTGTACCTGCTAGGCTAGTTTGCCATGAAAAACTGC